CAGCAGAGGCAGTCCCCGAGGGGCTAAATGCTGAAGGCGTCTACTTCCCAGTGCTGGGCCGAGTGCTTCCATGAAGGGGGATCTGGGCAGTGCATCAGTGCCTGGCCTCCTCCTTTATGGAAAGGGCATCATGACACTTCATGGGGTTCTTGTCCCTATGAAATGCAGCAACATATCTAAAGTACTTACCACATATTCTGACTCACAGTCACTGCTTAGCAAATGAGGACAATGTTTATTGTCTGTGTATTAGGCTATGGCTTATGGGTAACCCTGACCCAAAGTCACCTTTCCTCTCTGGGGGAGGGGGTCCAGGGGTGGCTCCACATGAGCTAAAGACTGAAATTGAGACTCTTTAAGTTTCTCTAGATGAGGTTATATATAAAGCCACAGAAACACAAAAGCAGAAATGGACAATGTTAATGAACCTTTAAATTCAGATCCCCTTAGCAGATAAAATACATTTTTAATTAATTCATTAATTATCCTGTGAACAACACTACTATATTGCATTTTTTGTCTTAATTTCTCCAATATAAACATTTAATATGGGCTATCCTCTCTATGATCCTGTTTTGGAATTTCTTCTTTTCCTTTTGATGTTCAGGGATGCTTGAGACCTGGTTATGGCCCAGGCCGCTCTCTGCTTTTGACAACACCTGTGCCACCTGTCCAGGTGGGATGGGAGCCAGGAGGCAGGTGGGTGACATAGCTATGGCCGCTGGGTTCATCCCTCAGTTCTTTGTCTACTAGGCGCACGCAGGACCTCAAACCTGCCAGCTGATCTGCTCACACCCTCCCCAGCCCCCAGGGAATGCCAGCCAGTTCCGGTGCCCAGGTGTCTCTAGGTCCGTGTGCCACGGAGCATGCTCTGTGCAGCTGTAACCTGAGAGTCACCCAATCCCGAGTGGCCACTTCAGTATTTCCCCAGGACTGGAGCAGCAAACAGGAGAAAAGGCTTGGGAGCCCAGTTCCCAGCCCCGTCGTTCAGGGGCGCAGCGCAGCCGAGGGAACCTGTCCCTCGCAGGATCCCGCAGCCGCCTGGCCTGGAGCGCCGTGATAAGCACCCCGTGGGGCCCCAGCAATGGAAGCACAGCCCCTGAGAGCGGGTTGACTCGGGATAGGACCGGGCGGGCAAAGACGTCTTTGATTTGCAAGCCTTTGGGCTTGGGTTTCAGTTCCTTTTCCAGAAAAGAGAAGCAAGTCCGTTTGTGTGTCGTTTGATTAGGGCGCTGCGGGCAGGCGGTTGCACCGGTTTGGGGACTTGGGAGCCGCTGCGTGCTCCGCTCTGGGCTGCGGTGAGACCAGAGCTTCCGGGGGTCTCCCGCTGGCTGGGCAGAGCCGGGCCTCCCTCAGGCCCCAGAGTAGACGCCCAGTCCGGAGTCACTTGCTTTCTCTCGGTCCTGGGTACCAGCCTCAGCCTCACAGGAGGGGTCCTGTCGCATCTCCAGAAACGGGAGCTCTACAGCCAGTCCTGGCTGGGTCACAACCAGTGTGGCCTTGGCCAAGTTACCTGGGCAAATCCAGGACTTGTCCTGGAGAGTAAATGAGACTCGTATGTAAAGCTGAGCACAATCCTAGACTCTGTCTTTGAAAAATGGGGCTACTGTTCCAGGAAGCAAACTCTTCACTCAGTGGCCCTGGAGGGTCTCGGCAATAGCACTCTGGTTGTGAGTGTGGGCGTGGCCAGCTCTGCAGAGGCCAGACGCGGGGGTCAGGGGGTGGGGGGTCGCGGGGAGGGTATTACGGGGCCAGCAGCTGCTTCTCACCCACTTCATACTGTAAAACCGGACTGAAAGCTAGAGAGACCCACTGTCCCTCCCTCTTCCTCCTGCCCCTCTCCCCCACCCCCATTTTCCACACCTTGCTTCCATTTCTCCTTCGTGCTCCCTGCCCACCCCCAAATAGCCAGATGTTTGTTTGATGGAGGCTGTTTAGGTCAACAAACTTCTTTGGAATGCGTTGTAATAATAATAAGGCAAACTAAAGTTCAGAGAGGTTACTTAAGGCCATTCAGCTAGTAATGGGCAGGAGTCTAGGATCTAAGGGAACTGGAAAGTATGGATAAATAAGTAATGGAGTTTATGGTAAGAAGGCTGTTTGTGTTTTAGGGTGGGAGCTGTCATCCTCATTGTTAATTTTCTAAGTCTATATGCAGTGTGCCCAGCTGGGGGAGGCAAGGAGAGATAAAAAAAAGATAGATGATGAGGTCCCTGACCTGAGAAAGATGAGCATTTAGTCTCCATCCAAGGAGCTGAGGCCATTTTATTGATTTTTATTTTGAAAACTTTACATCATTATTAGAGGCAATTATTTTAAAAAATCCTTCCCAGTTCTAATATCCCAATAGTTTTTGTACTTTCTCCTAATTTTTATTACTAGGTAAATATAGCTTCTATTTTTTAACATGGTATTCAAATAACTTTGTTCCACTCTTTTTTTTTTTTTTTTTTTTTTGAGACAGAGTCTCGCTTTGTTGCCCAGGGTTGAGTGAGTGCCGTGGCTTCAGCCTAGCTCACAGCAACCTCAAACTCCTGGGCTTGAGTGATCCTTCTGCCTCAGCCTCCCGAGTAGCTGGGACTACAGGCATGCGCCACCATGCCCGGCTAATTTTTTTATATATATATCAGTTGGCCAAAGAGACGGGGTCTCGCTCTTGCTCAGGCTGGTTTTGAACTCCTGACCTTGAGCAATCCGCCCGCCTCGGCCTCCCAAGAGCTAGGATTACAGGCGTGTGTTCCACTCTTTTTACATATCTCGAAAACATATTCCCCTGTCTCCCCATAGTCTCCATGGTTATCATTTTCATGCTGCATACTATTCCCTCATATGGCCAGGCTGTATTTAGCTACTTTTCTCTTACTGGTTGATTCTAGTTTTTTTGTCATTATAAATAATGTGGCTATAAATATCTGTGTACATATAGCTTTTTTCTTCTTTTAAATTATGTCCTTAGAATCAGTGCCCAGAAGGGGACGGCTGGGTCACAGGGTTGCCTGTTTTATTTTGCTATGCAGAGCCAGACTACAACTGACGACATTTAACAATGGAGCAACTGAGGACTCAAGTCCTCACAGATCTTTTGCTAATGTACTAGTGCCCTGTGTCTATGTAGAATATCGTATGGCATGAACACTCACTGACACCTACTCTGTATGAGGTCCATGCTAGCAGGACACCTGGAATGAGTGAAAGGCAGTCCTTACCCTTGGGAAGCACAGAAGCTGTGGCTTTTCAACCTTCTTCTCTTACTAGGATACAAAATATTCAAGACTGCTACACATCTAGGGACAGACTCCGAATCTGATGAGTCCCCCAAATTCTGCAGGGACTTAAAATACTAGTATGCTTTCTAATCAACTAGGATTTTTTTGGTGCCGATAAAACAGGTGGCTGGTTACTGGCCCTAATGCCATTCCTTTTTCTCAGATTCAAGAAAGAACATCAGGATGCAAGGGGTTGAGAGGGATGTATGGATAACATAAGTCCACTTTGATTTCTAAAAACAAGCAAACCATTCCCAGACATAGGCATTTGTGTCGTGACAAATCGTACAAGCAAGCTGATCCTTTTATGTGCACAGGCCTCCTCCATAGTAGGCCAGGACCACAAGGGACAGTGCTGTGCTCTACGCCAAGCACTGTGCTGGGGCCTGGGTGCCAGGATGAAAGGGTCCCAAGAACCTAGGGCACACACAGGGCGGGTAAGTGGTCCTGAGGATGGCCAATGCGTGACATCCAGTAAGTACTATGTGCCAGGCACCATTCTTGGCACTGGGAGACAGCAGTGATCAAATAGATAAAAACCCCTGCCCTCATGGAACTAATGCTTAGGAGTTGGGGTGGAACAAATAAATGTATAAAACATACAGTATGTCAGATGGGGATACATACAAAGGAGAAAAAATATGGCGAGCGGGGGAAGGTAACAGGGCATTCTAGAGAGGATGTTTTCAAGGGCACTCGGAGATTGCTTCAGAAAATGACATTTGAACAGAAAGGGCCAGGGGAAGTGTGGGAGAACAGCATTGCAGAGGGAGCCCCAGGCCAGGCCCTAAGGCAGGAGCCAGGCCACCAGGTGAGTGGGGGAGGGCAGGCGGTGGTGAGGTCAGAGAGGGGGTTGGGTCCTTTCTCCGGGTGGTCCCATAGGAATTTTAAGGATTTGTGTTTTTACCTAGAGTGAGGTGGGCACCCAGCGTCCAGGTGGAGGGCGAAGGGAGGCGGGTTAGGAAGCTAGTGGCAGGCTGGGAGCCTGCGTCCTCCTACTCAGCCCTTTCCACGCACATAGCCCTTGGCAGCCGGAGACTTGAAGTTTGAACTGCTGGGAACCTACAGCGAACTCCAGTCTGCAGGAAAGATTTCTAGGAAGGTCTTGAAGTCTAATTATAACCCCGTGTGATGGTCTCATTAGCATTAGAAAATTTCTAGGATCGGGTTCTCTAGCACAGGGAGCCCGGGCAACCGTCCAGACACTGACGAGTTGTGCAGCCTTGGGCAAATCTAACCTGGCAGACTCAGTTACTTCATCTGTAAAATAGGACTAAATGCCCTGGCTGTAAATGCAGCAAATGAGATTATTGGAAAGCACCTATTAAACATCATTATTGTTTACACAAAGCAAAAGAGAAAAATGGAGCTGACCTCAGAGCATACTTAGCAAAGGACTTTTATTCTCATTTTACAAAGTGCCAAGTTCGGGTTTGTCTGGTCCGCGGTCTGTCTGGACCTGTTTCGCTCTCACCTGGCGCCCGCCCCGGGGCTGGGAGCGGCGGCGCGTGGGGGCCGGCGGAGAGTGGTGCGGGGGTCCCGAGGGGAGCTGCTGAGGATCCCGGACCCCCGACCTCACTCCGGGCGCGGGCCCCGGAGCCTGCGGCGGGCGGGGAGCGGCTGCGGGCTGCGGGCGGCGGGCGGCGGGCTGGAGGACGCGCGGGGCGGGCGGCGGCGACGCGGCCTGGGCGGAGCCGCCCGCGACTTCTCCCTCGCTCCCGCCCCGTCCCCGCCCGGTCCCCGCCCGGTCCCCGCCTGCCCCAGACTCCCGGGGCCCGCGCCGCGCGCTCTTTCTCCGACAGCTGCCCGGGGAGCCCAGTGCGCCGCGCCGCGTCCTGTCCGTCTGTCCCTTCGGGTCACCGTCTGTTGCCGCCGCGCCATGACCACCCAGCAGATCGTTCTCCAGGGTCCGGGACCTTGGGGCTTCCGCCTCGTGGGCGGCAAGGACTTCGAGCAGCCTCTCGCCATTTCCCGGGTAAGAGCAGCTGGACGCGCGTGGGAGCCGGGCGCTCCCGGGAGGAGGGGCTGCGCCCGACCTGGGGTGCTGGGGCCCGCGGTGCTGCGGGGACAGACCCCGGGCCGCGGCGGGGCGCGTCCAGGTGCGCGCCAGGGGCCCGCCGCCCCCGCCGCCCCTTCCCCGACGCTGCGCTCCCGGGCTGGCTGGCGGGCGCGCTCACAGTGTCTGCCAGAAAGGAGGGGACAGTTGTGGTTCCTTGGCCCCAGAAGCGCGGCTCGGCGTTGGAAGTGCTTTGTCCACCGGCGAAGGGCTGAGGGTCCTCGCAGATCCCGCGCGCTGGGAGCTAGCACTTCTCCGTTCCTCACGCGGAGTGGCAGAAAGCACCAGGAGAGACCTGGAAAGTGGGAGGGAAATTTACTGGGGGCTACGTGGGGTTAACCTAAAAAACAATAACCGAAACAACTAGTTTCCCACTCTTTGGACTTGGTCAGTCTCGTCCCCTTTCATCTTTTGGAGAGAAGGTAGGATTTTGGAAATAAACACACAAACAAACCCTCTTTGGTCATTCTTCTCCTGTGGGAAGTGGCCGCGCGCCATCATTCTGCCTGGCGTTCCCAGATTATCCCCTGGCCAGCCCCCTCTCCTCGGGAGATGAGGGGATGCGGGGTGGGGTTCCTACCCTGTGTGTATGGTGGTGGTCCTTGAAATCTTCTTGGAGGATCTCATCTCCTCGGAAGAGCCCACTTTCCACCCTGAAGCACCAAACCCATCCCCCCCGCCCGCCCCCCCAATAAAGTGGAATACCCAGGGAAACCCAGACTCCGTGTTTGTAGGCCCAGGCTTTGTCCCTCTAATCTAGCCAAACACAAGGTTGATGTCCCCCTGACAGTCGCCACCTTCAGTGCCTGGGCACCTAAAAGGGGTCAATAATTTTTTTTTTTGAATGTCAAAAGGGAGCAGGAAAAGCACACCCTGGTGGCCACGCCTTGCCTAGAGGCGGCACATTCCATTCTTGGGCCCATCTGCCTGCTGAGGCTGACCTTAAACTTGTCTCCCCAACCTTCTAAACATCCCTCTTTTTTCTTGGGGCAGGGAGGGAGGATGGAGCGGGAAGGGGAAGATCCAGGTGGTCTTTTTGACTTAAACTCCTGCCTCCAGCAGCTGAAGGAGTTTGGTGGGAGGTGCAGAAGAATTGGGGACCCCCTCTTGGCCTCTCTGTCAGCCCATGCTTCCTTCCAGGTGGGTGTGGCCCAGGGAGGAGGTCTTCTCTGACCATCCCACCCCCAAAAGGAGCAGGTGGGTCAGTTCTTAGGCCCTGCCTTCCACCTGCTTTCCTTGTCCCACAGAGACCTCTGATCATTTTCAAAGGTACACGTTGTCTTTCCAGCCACCAGCTGAATTCTTCAAGCACAGGAACTGTGCCTTCCCCATATCTGGAACCCTGTTCCCAAGCCTGGCACAGAGTTGCACCTGGCTGTGCTGGATAAATCCTTTCGGGCTTATTAATAAACGCTTGTCCGGGGAGGGCATTGCCTCTGCACATTTAGACTCGCTTACCTCATAGTCCATTTGTCCCTGCTCTTTGTGTCTATAATTAACCTGTCAGCCCTCTCCACTTCTGAGATTTATATATGACTTGAAACCTTTTTTTAAGTAGTGGAGGGTGTATTGGCAATCTGTTAAAAGGGCAGTTACCGCCTGTCTGCCATTTCAGCTGCTTTAAAAGTCTGATTGTAAGAGGCCCTGTGCGGGAATGATGGTTTGGGGTGGAAAACACCACACTGTGAATTCATTCGTTTGTACTTTCATATATTCATTCATTTATTATTTATTTATTGGTATGTGCACATGTTTAATGAGCACATACCAGATGACAGAGACTGTGCAAACTCCTTAGAACCCAGAGGACAGATCTCCATTCTCAAGGTGTTTGTGGTCAAGTGAGGGAAGCTAATCTTTAAAATGCCCTTAGCAGGTGATTTAATTGAAAGGTGAAAGTGACTCAGAGGAGGTGACATTCTCATGCTGATAGTCGTTTACTTGTCTCTTTATTTCATTATTAACACATGGAAAAAATGTGAGCCTGTTCATCTCTAGGGAATGGGAAAGGCATTGTCATAAAGGGACTCTGGAGTGCCTTCTGAGGCCTGGTGCTGGCCTGGTGTCTGCTGCTTATTTGAGCTGTACCTGGGGTGAGCCTTTTACTGTCTGTGGCTACCTTTTTATTTTTTCTTAATTTTTTTAAGTCTCTGTAATGGGAGTAACACCAGCCCATGGCTGGGAGTTAGGGTATGTCAGAGTGCTCTGTAAACAGTGAATAATTAGTGAGGTGGTGTAAGAATCAACAAAGAGATATACACCTCTGGTTGGTAGGTGTGTTACATTTATTATCCTGGGCATATACAGTTGGCTAGTATGGTTTTGTATATGTAGACTTGGAGTCTCCACACCAATGCAAACCATAAAATTAGGCCGGGAGAGGAGTGCCTTTTATTTAAATAACTATGTTTGCTTTCTCTTGCATGAATTATTCTGGTATTGGCTCCAGTCCTTTGTTAAACTGTTAAAGCTTCTGAATATAACATTGTAATCTTATATACTTTCAATGTTTTCTTTTTTTTAACTTATTTTTAATTATGAAATGAAAAAGTCATAAGATAAATGCATAGCAAATGATTAAAGTAAACACTTGTATAATCACCACTTAGGCCAAGAAATAGAACATTGCCAGCATCTAGAAGCTCATTAAATGTAACCCTATCCTGACTTATGGTAATCACTTCCTTACTTTTCTTCATAGTTTTTTCACCTAAATAGGCATCCCAAGCGCCATACTTTAATTTTACCTGTTTCTGAACAGGTTCATACAGAACATATATTATTTTTGTGTGTGAATAGCTTCTTTAGCGCCTTAATGTTTTCATTTGTTGTTGTAATCAACTTAAAATTTCAACCCAGATTTCTAGCTTTAAATGGGGATAGCTTTCTAGCTTTCTTCTTTTACCCAGTTTATCACTTAAGGGCCCTGCCTTGGACTCCCTGATGATCTAGCCCTACATTTGCCACTGTTCCCTGAGATTTTTTTTTTTTTTTTGTCAGTTCTTGCTCCAAACCTACAGTTGTCTATCTCCTTGGGGTTGTTTTTTTCCCACCATGTCAATTTCTTATTTCCTCTAGTTACATTCAAGGGAAGCCTTCAGAGATCCATACCCAGGCCAAAACTGCTGCTCAGTTTATGTTGACTGTTTTTCTCTCCCAGCAACTGATGAAAGACAGGAAGGGGTGGGGCCAGAGATAAGGGATGCTCTTAATTGGAGGAGCTGCTCCTTTGCTTCTTGGGTCCTGAGGAACTCTTTGCTAAGAGCCCAGTGGTTTTGTGGCAAATGCTGGTGACCTTTGCTCAAGTATCCCAAGGGGTGCTTAATAATGGATACTCTACCCAGAGGGGTCATTTCTGATTTTTAAGAACGGTATTTCCAGATTCAAGGAGATTTTATGTCATGTCCTAAAGGTTGAAAGCACAGGGCTTGTCTGTCAGTATATGAAAAGCAAAAAATGTCCAAAAAGGCTCATTATGTATTTATGGCCCTTGTGCTGCACTCCCTCATTGTGTGAAATTGATCACCTGGGAAATATTAGCAGCTCTAGCCAATCACAGCTGACCTAAGGAGAGAGGAGGAAGAGGATGAATCAGAGAGAATGACACGTCAGTCAATGCTTGAGCCCACTGGCATGACATTTACGAGACCATGTTATCACCTGCTGACCAGATACCCTCCCATCTCCTCCCTAGTCTCCAGGATGCCAACCTTGCTGGTTTATTTTTGAGGAGGTGAGAGGGAAGAAGGATGGCTGGCTTTAGGGTATTGCCGACTGGCGTATGACTGAGAGGAAAGTGTCATCTAACCACTGGGGTCATCATACTCTCCTAGGTTGATCAGGACTGGGAAAAGCACCAACAAATTGCTCTGTGCTAGGACAAGGCTAGGACTTGCATCCAGGCTGTGCCCATTCCTAAGCCATGCCTTACTCTTGATCCAAAGAGGAGAAGAGAGCTGGTATTCTTTGCCTTTTACAGATAGGGAAGCTCAAGTGCCCACAGGTTAGGTAATTTGTTTAAATTTACATAATTTTTCACTGATAGACCTACTTCTTAACTTCCTTGTAAAGGAGAGGGTAGAGACTGGTTAAAAATGAGCAAAAGTGATTATGTTAAAAAACTAATTTTCAAAGGATGATTTGACTTCCAGTAGGTCTCTGGGGAAAGAGTGGGGATGGGGCGGGGGGGGGTGCAGGGGGAGCTGCCAGGACTTGTGTAGGGTACCTGGTAAAATGTCTAGGGCCGGGACTCAAGCAGAGCTCTAGTCCTGAGCACCTCATGGGTGGCCCTGGGTAAGTCAAATGCCTTTTCTAGGGTTCAATTCTCTGTAAAGATAGTAAATGAGCAAGTAAACCCAGGGGGTTTTGTACCCTTTGAATTTGAGAGCCCACTTTTTCATTGTTAGAGTATCCTAGTTTCTCATGGTGTGGGGTGTGCCTTCAACCATAAGTTGATTTAGAAAATGTACTATGAATTCAGGATTGTTTTCAGGTGAATTTGTGTCCTGTTAATTACAAGAGTATCCATTTACACTTGAAAGATTTGTGTGAGAAATACTTATTTGATCTACTTGTGAAAATAACCATAGTTAAAACATATACAGAGCTATTTACATGCCAGACACTATTCTAAGTGCTTAATATATTCTCTCAGTGGTCCTCACAAATGTCTTATGAGGTAGACACAATTGAGATCCCCATCTTACAGATGAGGGAACTGAGGCATGGAAACATTAAGTACTTTGCCTGTTTGCCCGTGTTACGTATCAGTGAATGGTAGAGTTGGAATTTGGCTGAGCAGTCTGGCTTCAAAGCCTGTAGTCTTAATCTCTATGTCATAATAATGTTTTCATAGCAGCTAACATTTTTTGAACACCTGCTCTGTGCTAAGCAGGTACTTACTTGCATTATCTTCCGTA